AATTGGACAAGTATATGGTCTACTATGCCGGGAATGACCACTTGAAGAGGAATGGCATTGCCTTCATCGTCAAAAAGAATATTTCAGGATCTATCCTGAAGTACAACACTGTCACTGATAGGATAATATCCACACGCCTACAAAGGAGACCAGTTAATGTGACTATTATTTGGATTTACTCACCAACCACTAAGGCCAAGGATGAAGAAATTAAAGATTTTTACCAGCTTCTGCAGTCTGAAATTGCTCGAACATGCAATCAGGATGCATTGATAATTACTGGTGATTGGAATGAGAAAGTTGGAAACAAAGAAGGATCAGTAATTGGAAAATCTGGCCTTGGTGATAGAAACAATGCCGGAGATCGCATGACAGAATTTTGCAAGACCAACGATGTCTTCATTGCAAATATCTTTTTTCACCAACATAAATGGCAACTATACACACGGACCTCACCAGACGGAATACACAGGAATCAAATCGAGTATATCTGTGGAAAGAGACAATGGAAAAGCTCAATATCATCAGTTAGAACAAGGCTGGGGTCTGACTGTGGAACAGGCCATCAATTGCTCATAGGCAAGTTCAAGTTGAAACTGAAGAAAATTAGAATAAGTCCACAAGAGCCAAAGTACAAACCCGAGTATATCCCACCTGAATTTAAGACCATCTCAAGAATAGATCTGACGCGTTGAACACTAATGACCGAAGACCAGACAAACTGTGAAAGGACATCATACATGAAGAAAGCAAAAGGTCATTAAAAAGACAGGAAAGAAAAGACCAAAATGGATGTTGAAGGAATTCTGCAACTTGCTCTTGAACGTCGAGTAGCTAAAGCAAAAGGAAGAAATAATGAAGTAAAAGAACTGAACAGAAGATTTCAAAGGGCGCCTTGAGAAGACAAAGTATTATCATGACATGTGCAAAGAGCTGGAGATGGAAAACCAAAAGAGAAGAACACGCTCAACATTTCTCAAGCTGAAAGAACTGAATAAAAAATTCAAGCCTCGGGTTGCAATAATGAAGGATTCTATGGGGAAAATACTAAACAACACAGGAAGCATCAAAAGAAGATGGAAGGAATACAGAGTCATCATATCAAAAAGAACTGGTTGACATTCAGCCATTTCAAAAGGTAGCATATGATCAGGAAGGAAGAAGTCCAAGCTGCACTGAAGACCTGGCGAAAAACAAGGCCCCAGGAATTGACAGAATATCAACTGAGATGTTTCAACAAACGGATGCAGCGCTGGAAGTGCTCAATTGTCTATGCCAAGAAATTTGGAAAACAGCTACCTGGCCAACCAACTGGAAGAGATCCATATTTATGCCTATTCCAAGAAACGTGATCCAACTGAATGAGGAAATTATCGAACAATATCATTAATATCACAAGTAAAATTTTACTGAAGATCATTCAAAAGCAGCTGAAGAAGTATATCAACAGGGAACTGCCAGAATTTCAGGCTGGATTCAGAAGAGGACATGGAACCAGGGATATCATTGCTGATGTCAGATGGATCTTGGCTGAAAGCAGAGAATACCAGAAAGATGTTTACCTGTGTTTTATTGACTCTGCAAAAGCATTCAACTGTGTGGATCATAACAAATTATGGACAACATTGTGAAGAATGGGAATTCCAGAACACTTAATTGTGCTCATGAGGAACTTGTACATAGATCAAGAGGCAGTTGTTCGGACAGAACAAGGGGATACCGTGTGGTTTAAAGTCAGGAAAGGTGTGCATCAGGGTTGTTGTTATCTTTTCATCATACCTACTCAATCTGTATGCTGAGCAAATAATTCAAGAAGCTGGACTATGAAGAAGAATGGGGCAACAGGATTAGAGGAAGAGTCATTAACAACCTGAGTTATGCAGATGACACAACCTTGCTTGCTGAATGTGAACAGGACTTGAAGTACTTACTGGTGAAGATCAAAGATTACAGCCTTCAGTATGGATTACACCTCAATATAAAGAAAACAAACAACTGAACCAATAAGCAACATCATGATAAATGGAGAAAAGCCTGAAGTTGTTAAGTATTTCATTTTACTTGGATCCACAATCAACACCCATGGAAGCAGCAGTCAAGAAATCAAAGGACGCATTGGCAAATCTGCTGCAAAAGACCTCTTTAAAGTGTTGAAGAGCAAAGATGTCACCTTGAAGACTAAGGTGTGCCTGACCCTAGCCATGGTATTTTCAGTCACCTCACCTATACGCGAAAGCTGGACAATGAATAAGGAAGACTGAAGAAGAATTGATGCCTTTGAATTATGGTGTTGGTGAAGAATATTGACTATACCATGGACTGCCAAAAGAACTAACAAACCTATCTTGGAAGAAGTACAACCAGAATGCTCCATAGAAGCAAGGATGGTGAGGCTATGTCTTACATACTTTGGACATGTTGTCAGAAGGGATAAGTCCCTGGAGAAGGACATCGTGCTTGGGAGAGGGTCATCGAAAAAGAGGAAGACCCTCAACAAGATGGATTGACACAGTGGCTGCAACGATGGGCTCAAGCATATCAATGACTGTAGGCATGGTGCAGGACAGGGCAGTGTTTTGTTCTGTTGTACACAGCGTCGCTATGAGTCGGAACCGACTCGACGGCACCTAACAACAAAAAAATTTTTATAACCATTGTGACTAACATTTTAGCTATTAATCTCTTAGTCCAATATTAGAAATTTAAATGTATCACAGAACCTGCTATATAAAATAAAACTCTGAAAACAATCTTGAAATAGAAATGTATTCCTTCATTATTCCCTCATCTGTTTTGTAGGCTTAATTTTCTTATATTTTTTTTACAGAATCACGTATCTACTCTAATCTGGGGAACAAATGCAAACAAAAATAAATTTTAGAAAATTGTCCAGACAGAATTCTATTTTGAATTTCAAATTATTGGAGTACACCTAATGACTATTTCGGTAAACAGATTCCCCAAATAGCGAAAAGATTTAATCAGCCAGTGCATTGGAGAAAAAATCTTTGACTGAACTTCGTAAATTTTAAAATGCAGAAATAATAAAATTAGCTTAAATAGTTTGGTCAGGGGTAATCAAGAGTAGTGGGAAGTAAAGACATTCTAAAAAATTAAGCAATGTGTTATGGATTACATTGTGCCCCTCCCCCTCCACTCCTCCCAAAAATACATGCTGAAATCCTAAACCCCTGTACCTGTGGATGTAATCCTATTTGGAAATAGGGTTTTCTTTGTTATGTTAATTAGATCATACCTGAGTAGGGTGGGTTCAAAGTCTAATCACTTCTGAGTTACAGTAACAACAGATTAGCCACAGAGACACACACACAGAGAAGAGGAAGACGACCGGGACAGATGCATCTACAAATATTGTTGCAGCTACTAGAAGCTGAAATAGACAAGGAAGGACCTTCCCCTAGAACCATGCCCTGAATTCTGACATCTAGCCTTGTGAATTGTGAGAAAATAAATTTCTATTCTTTAAAGCCACCCACTTGTGGTATTTCTGGTACAGCAATGCTAGGTAACTAACACACAATGTAAGAATGAATAAGGCAAAATGTGGAAATCCTAAGATGAGCATGAATTGCAGAAAAGGAAAACTGGAGAGAACCCTTTTTGATGTAACTGTAGCTGTTCCTTAGTGAAACAAATTACTTCCAAAGGCACAGTTCCCTACTGGAAAGAAGAAAATCTGTGATGAAAATACTATACTGACAATCAAACAACCATTTACACTCAAGCAATTTTATTCTTAACTGAATTTACTTAAATAGGTTTCCCTACATTAGCAAATGAAGATGCTAATTTAGGATCATGAGGGTACTCCTTTTGGTGGTCTTAGTTCTCGCTATGTAATCAATAGGCACCTGGTTTTCAAATCAAGCCCCATGTGAATTTACTTGGTATGAAGCAGTTCTTCAGTGAATTACGATCTAGTAGATGAGATCCCAAAGGTTAATGTGCCTCGTGCAGTGCCTGCAACATAGCAGGCTCTCTAATGTTGGTTTTTTCCTTTCCTTCTCTTGAAAGAAAGAACGAACTCTGTAACAAAAATAACAAACCCATAGCCCAAAACAATTGCACAAGACAGAAATGACTTGTTGTTCATACTTGAACATAAATATTTTATAATTTATTGTAAAAAAATTTTTTTTTACATACCACCACCATAAATACTGAACATGGTTTTATAAAAGTGACAATTTTATGACAAAATCCTTCAAAGTACCATGATAATCCACTGGTTTTCTTCTTAACCTCAATAGAACAGCTAAGACTAGGATTAGAATCTAACCGTAGCAGCCATGAAAATTTGATTTCCTGGTTTTTAAATAAAGTTTAATACACAAGAATACTGACAACTACTTGCACGTGCTACAAGAAACAGTCAGATGTACAGCCAAGATGTGGATTAAAAACCAGTTGCTGTCCTGTCGATTCTGACTCATGGCAACCCATGTGTGTCAGAGTAGAACTGTGCCCCATGGGATTTTCAGTGGTTGATTTTTCGGAAGTAGATCGTCAAGCCTTCTTTCAGATGCACCTCTGGGGTGGACTGAAATCTCCAACCTTCGATCAGCATAGCTGCTAACCGTTTGCACCATCCAGGGCCTCCAAGACGTGGGTAGCAGACAAGTTTAAAAGAAATGTACTCACTTCTATTTACATATGCTTACTAGAAGTATCATAATTACAAAACAAACTGGTAAACTGCGACCACCAACAGACAGATTTCTACACACTGGGAAAGTCAACAACAACAGAAAAATTAAGATATTTGGCATCAAGTAGACAACAGTTAGGTTTTAGGCTTTCATGTACTGTGCAAACAAGGCCTTACCACCCACACCCCTAACCCTGGAATTTCAGACCTAGAGAGCAGTCAGTGCAAAACACTTGCTTTGTCCTTCTTCTCATGCTAGATCTCCGATGTTTTCCTAACTCTTTCAGTCTTCTAGAAGAATCTTTCAGATTTTGTACTCAACAGCACTGGGTCAAATTTCTTCTATACATGACCTCATCCTTCTCGTGTCCCCTCTGTTTGCAGAGAGCCGGTCAAAGTCTTGGAGGTGGAAACGGGTTGCCAATTGATTTACCATTCTCTTCAAGGCAAGAAATGCTGCAACAACTTGGAAAGTAAGGAAGAGAGTGAAGATGATATGTATTGCTTTTTCCATCGGCAAACTCTTTAAGCCTTCATTAAAGAGCAAAAAAAGAATTAAAGGCAACTGTAACAGAAGACTCAAAAGCCAAAAGCCAGCCAACTCAGGAACCTGCAATGACACACATTAAGAGTAATAAGATCAATAAAGTAGTGTCTTTTGTTTACACAGAGAAGCAAGAACTTAGCGCTACTATAAGCCCACACTGGGCCAGGATCTGTGGCAATTCAAAAGAAGTATGACATGGTCCCTTCCTCAACTTACAGTCTAGATGGAAAGACAAAACTAACTTATATGAAACAATCCTAGAATACTACACTTTAGTGAATGACTAAATGCTACAAGAAAGAAGACGAGAGTGATTAGGGTAGGTGAAAGAGAAACTTCAAGGGGGTAGGCCTTTAATGTTGGATAAAAGGAGGAAGAAGCACGAAGGTTAAGTAAGCAAAGATGTGGAATGAGCATGAGAAGCAATCAACACACCAGCCTGGAATGGATGCTTGGGTTAGGAAATAGCCAGAAATACAGTAAGACAGGCAGGCTGGGTGGGGCCTAATTATGAAGGGCCTAGAAAAACCACAGAAATCTTTAGGCATTATCCCTAAGCTCTGGTAACAGTAAATGCTTAGGCAGCATGATGACGCAGAAAACAATCTTTGTGCCTGACATACGAAACTAGTTTTTAATTTCCTTATTCAGGAAACAAATAAACATATTTAATTGACCAAGTATTTTCAAGAATGACAAGAAGGAGTAGGGGAAAAAACTATCAGTTCTTAAAGCGCTTACTATGTTCAGGTACTTGTTATAAATCATTTCATTGAATCCCAACACACCTGTGAGGTACATATTGTTTTTCCCATTTTATACATGAGGAAACCATGGCTTGTGAGATTAAGCAAACTGATCACAGTGAAAAAAGTAGAAACGTTGCAGCCTGGCCTTAAATTCAGGCCTATGCTCCTCGTACCACTTTTCATGGCCTTTTCCTTGCTATGAAAGCCCCCATTGCATTTATGTGCAGTGATGACAGAAAGGAAAGAAGAGCCTACCTTCTCCTGCAGGTTACCCATGTAGCCCAGATACAACCGGATGACCTCAATTAAGGTTACTAGGATGATAATAGTGACCACAATAAACTTGTAGTAATCAGGCAAGACTGGATACTAAAAAACAAAAATAAACGCATTTATAAAATCCCACAGAGTAAAACTGACCAGGGATAGAAGAGAATCATTAGAACTTTAACTTTATTGACAGTGTAACAATGCCAGGGCCAAGAAGCGACCTCAGCATGGGTGCTGAAGCACAGACTTACCTTCAATTGAAGCATCATAATGCTGCTCACCCACCAAAGGGGGAAAAAGTAAGTGTTAAAATAAAGTGACATCTGCAGTGCCAAACTGGAGACCATTTCATCATCTATGGAAGAAACAGAGAGAAAAGGAACAAACTCTAAATGCTGGTCTATGCCCTATAAATTCTTTCATTCCTTTGAATTAACAACTACAGTATTGGCTCAACAAAACTCCAAATTTTAAGCCTATTGATAAATCATTGGCAGTGAAAGGAATATTCATCATAATACCATTTAGCTGGGTTCAAATATTGGCCATTGGGGGTACGTTTCATATTTCTCAATTACTTTATCATTTCGCCATGACAGTCTGCTGACTCTTCTGCATGCTGCTAGTATAGATTAAATGTGGAATATCAATGAATCTTCTTGAACAGATACCTATAACTGCCATTACCTCCTTTGTAGAGTTCTACGTAAACAGCCTATAAAATGAAGACATAAAATACATAAAAACTAGTCTCTCACATATAAATGAATCTCCCCAAATTATAATCAGACACATCCCCCTTTCCATCATACCCTAATCCCACCCATCCTTTAATGGCCAATTCAATGCCATTTTTCCCATAAATCCTCCTTGACAGTGTTCCTCCGCCCCAGCAGAAATCTCTTTCCCCTCTGGGTACTTATCACTCTAAACTGTGTATGAGACAAGCTAGCAAAGAACCACACTCTTCCAGCTCTAGGCACAGCCCGGTGCACGGAAGAGAACATGGGCGTTAGAGTCCAACTTGGCTGGACCTCCACTCGCTAACTCGGGATGCCAGACCTGGGATACGTTATTTAACCTCTTTGAGAGTTAATTTCTTCATCTGTAAAATGGTAACATTAAAATGACCTTATAGGCTGCTTGTGAGGATTAGAGATAATAAAAATTATCTCACCCTAGCCCTGTGCCTGGCACTTAGTAGGCATTCAATAAATAGTACCCTTTCCTTCTTCTCTTCTGCTTACACATAGGCTCATCGTGAGCATAGACCACATGCTACCCAGAATTGAGACCCTCACAGAACCTCACCATCTTGCTTTTTAACAGTAAATACCAAGCATACCTAAGCTGAAAGAACGAATTAATGGAAACAAGCTGTCATAAGGACATTACCAGTGTAGCCATTCATGATAAACGAATTCCATTTATCTAATACCTTTTGCTTTTATGTAAGGGAGAAAGGTCCTAAATTAAGAATTTGAGTTTAAAAATGGAACCCTACAAAATGCATCCTAAAATTGACTAAATTCTAACAATTTAAGACCAGATAGCAGATACATATTTTGAAATCAATTGCTCTAAATGTTGGTTGTAAAATAATTTACTTAAAAAGATGATTTTTTTCTTTTTCTCTACAACTGAGTATTTTTTAATCTGTCATTTAACAATTTTAAAATATAAGAAATAATCATGGTGTCTCACAGCAAGAAGGGTTCCTTTAGCTCCAAGAATATGTCTGATATTATGATCTACTTTTTAATAGAATTTTTATTGTGGTAAATATGTAAAACAAAAAATCGAAGAATAATGTTTCATGATGCATGAAAACCATATGAAATTCAAATTTCAGTGTCTACGAATAAAGTTTTATTTATGCCCATTCACTTCTTGCTATTGTTGCCACAGAAACCCTGTGGCCTGAAAGCCTAAAACATTTACTACCTGGCCTTTTATAGAAAAACTTCGCTGACCCCCTGATTTAAATCACTACCTTGCATCATCAGATTTTAGCGTCTGTTAAGCCTCAGCTTTAGAATCAGAAACGTGAAAACCTAATTTTTCACATGGTCTTTCTCTGCACCTCCTAAATCATAAAGAGGCCTAAAATTTGGGGGAACAGGCAAGTGATTAAGGTGACAAAATGCAACTTTGACTGACTGCTTTTCTTGGCACGCTTTAAAAAAAAAAAAAAATCCCTAAAACCAATCAAAGGAAAAGGTTTCTATTTCCGAGCAGAGTTCAGTGATGAAAACCGCAAGGGTTTCGTCGACATTATGCTATCTGTCATCGAGATTAGGAGGAAACGGTTTTGGAGGAAACTGCGTTATCACTTGTCATCCCGTTGAATGCAGCATCGTGATTTTGTTACCAGATTTAGGAAAAGAGCTATATATAGGGGAGGAGAAGGCCGGGAAGGGGACAAGTTTTGTCGAAGGCCATGCTACTGCGGCAGCTGCCACTCTGGAGTGGACAGAGGTTTAAAATGACTCATTAAAAAAATTTTTTTTCATCTCTTCTGCTGGAAAATGGACTTGTGGAGGAAGGTGCTTGTTCTTCTAGGAAGAGAGAAAAGACAAAGATATTTCACAGGAGGGTGGGGGATGGGGGGTGGTGGTGGTGGTAATGGTAATGCTATTCGGGTTGTTTCCCCCATCCTGGCCAGGAAAGCCAGGGCAGACGCAGAGGAAAGTCAACGTTGGCCTCCGCAAAGACGCGGGACAGAGCACTGGCAAGGCAGCTTTTTATTTTTTAAGTCTCCGCGCAGGCAGCGTTCAGCCTCATACGACGCAATGGCCGGCGCCAAATCAGCTGCGGCGCTAGCAATGCGCCTCCCAGGCCACAGCATGAGCCGACCAAGATTGGAACGGGGTCGGGGCCCGGCCCAGCCCTTCCTCCAAGACGCTCCCCGCACCACGGTGACCCAGCTGAAGGCGAAATCGCCATCTTAGGTGCGGGCAAAATCTGGCCGCTCCAAAACCCGCGCCAGGCCCTCTGCGGACCACACCCCCTGCGCTGGGCCTCGGCCACTCACCCGGACCCTCGCTGTACTCCGGCCCGGTCCGGTTGGAGTCGCTGAACACGGTCCGGCTGAAGTTTCCCAGCCGCTGGCGGACCGGATCCGGCAGCTCCATGCCTGGGCCTCAGTACCCCTCGCCCCTTCAGATACAGTCTAGACTGCGGGCTCAGCCACCCTCCGCGGTCCCCATGGCAACTGGGCGGTGCTAGACGCTGCCCGGCCGGGACGCGCGCGCAGGGCAGGAGCCGAGTCTGCGGTGAGGACAGCCGGATACATGTCCCCGCCGCCGAGCGCCTCGGTGGTGTTTCGCACGGCAGATTCTTAAGTCCCGTTCAAGCTCCACCATCTTCAATAACAACAGAATAATAATAATAAATGACCTGGGGTTGAACTGTGGTGCAAGGATTCCTCACACCTTGCAGAGTCTGTAAATCAGTGCAACTTTACTGAAGGGAAATACAGAACGGATGCAGAGGTTAGAGAATGTTCATGACCCAGTAGCTCCTCTTGTAGGAATTTTATATGTATGTATGTGTGTATATATACATATATAACGATGTACACGAAATTTTAAGTAATTTGTTTAATAAAAATTATAAATCACGAATATATACAGTGGGGAACTGATTAAATGTATTAGAGCACATACATTCGACGAACCACATTGCAGCAGTTTATAAATAACATGCTTGCAAAAGATATTTGATGATAACGGATTGACTTTTTTTTTTAAAAAAAAAAAGGTAAAATGAAACTAGGAATGAACGTAATTTAGCAAAATTTGTGTATAAATGGAGGGGAGAGGGGAAGGAGAGAGCACTTGCACACTGGCTCAAAAAAAAAAGACTGGAAAAAAATAATGCAAAATGTTAACAATGTTATTTCTGGATGGGGGATTGTGGGTGATTTTGATTTTCTTCTTTAAATATTTCTGTGTTTTCCAGCTTTCTCTCAAATAAGATGTATTACTTAAGTTTTTTTTTTTTTAAGTTAAGTGTAATATACGTACAGAAGTGGACGCAAACTGAATATACACGTGTATTCAGTATCCGGAACAAATAGAACCTTACCAGCACCGCAAGGTGCTCCCCTTACTGTCCTTTTCAGTCACTAAGCCCACCACTATCTTTTCCTGACCTGTAATAGCATCGAATAATTTGCTTGTTTTTATAGTTTATATAAAAGAAATCCTACAGTAAGCACTTTTTTGAGGAGCCCTGGGGTGCAGCGGTTAAAGCACTCAGCTGTTAACCGAAAAGTCGGGGGTTAGAACCCACCAGCCCTCTGCTCTTCGGGAGGTAGATGTGACAGTCTGCTTGCATAAAGATTAAGGCCTTGGAAACCCTGTGGGGAAGTTCTACTCTGTCTGTTAGGGTCACTATGAGAAGCGACTCCACTGCAACGGGTTTTAGGTACTTTACTTTTTTTTTTTATCTGGCTCATTGCCCTCTACATTATTTTTTGTAAAATTCATTCATATTGTTGAGTATGTATAGTTTCATCCTCCTTGTGGTGTGTGAGCCTACCACAGTATGTTTATCCATTTTACTTTTGATGAGCAGTTGTGTATGTTTTTCTAATTTGGGACTGTTGTTTGTATTTGTGTTGGATGTATACCTAGGAGTGGAATTCCTGGGTCACAGGATATAACCAAGCTTTAGTAAATACCGCCAAACAGTCTTCCAAAGTGGTTGCACCTATTTCTACTGCCTCCAGCCATGTATGAGCATTCCTATTGCTGCATATCCTACACCAACTGTTGTTATTTTCCATCCATTTCCTTTTAGCTATTCTAATGGTTATGTGGTGAACAGTATTATTATTTTTTTACAATCAAAAGGAAAACCAAATATGTTTATTTAAATGTCAAGAGGAAAGTATGGGAGGAAATACTAACTTTGTGGCTAGAATTTCGTTTTAATTCAACAAGCGTTCATTGCATTCCTACAAGGCATTGTACTAGATGAATTAGGAATGCAATTCTTTCCCTGAAGATGCTCAACGCAGTAAGGGAAACATACAAACAAAATAAATACAATACACTGTTATAAGTGCTTTAATAAAGAAACACTGATGAGGAAGTGATTAATTAGGCCGAGGTCTGAGGTGTCAGGGAAAAACTGACCAGTTTCTGTTTCTCTTCAAGATGTAGCTGAGGCCTCACCATCTCCAAAGATACTTCCAGGGTCTCCCTGAAGCTGGCTTAGGTGCCTTCCTCTGTGTTTGTCAAACATTCTTTGCTTCCCTTGGTCACGGTGCTGGCCACGCTGTACTGTAATAGTCTGTTTACGTGCTGCTTCTCTTGCTAGTCCACAAGCTCTTGGAGGTCAGAAATGGACTTTCATCTGTATATCCCTCAACACCAGCACAATACCTGGCCTATAGTGGGAGCTAGATGACTGTTTAGTGATAAACAGGAATAAAAGGTCTAATGACCACTACCACATCTTCCCGTTTCTAGTGCAAGCAACCTCTGCAGTTAACTTAACCAGCCTGTGTAAGTGCTACTGTATACCATGGGGAATTGGTTATTAAAACACAGTGAATTCAAACAATCAAAAAATTAAAAAAATTAGCAACAAAGAATCACTTTTCAGCTAATAAATGAGCCAAAACTTTCAAAAAGGGTACACTAAAGCAGGAAGCCTCATACTCTGCTGATTGAATTATAAACAACCCCACTGAGAAAAGCCATCAACAATATATACAAACAGCCTTAAAAATATCCATGCGCTTTAATGCAATAATCCAATTTCAAGGCTCTATTTTGGGAAATAATCACAGAAACAAATAAGGTACTTGTTACTTCCAACATTATTGACATTAGTCAAAAAAAAAGGAGGAGGAGGCAAGCATTTGAAGTGCCAGACCCCAACCACAAGGTCCTAGTCAAGGAGAGTGTGATATTTACCGTGAGTTGTCGGGCTGTAGTGGAAAGAATGCCCTTGGAAGCAGAGAGCAGGGTTCAAATCTCCTAAAATTCCCACTCTATCACCTAATAGTTGTGTGATTGATTTCAGGTTCTTATTTTGTAAAATAGGAATAATGATAATCTTACTGATATGGTTGGTGTAAAGATTATACCATTAAATAAGACTCTATGAATGATAACCATCATTACAAAAAAAAAAAAAAAACCCACGTTGTTGATTCCAACTCATAGCAACCCTATAGGACAGACTAGAACTGTCCCATAGGGTTTCCAAGGAGCGACTAGTAGATTTGAACTGCTGACCTTTTGGTTAGCAGCCAAGCTCTTAAGCCACTGCCCACCAGGGCTCCAGAACACATCTATTAAAACGATATTTATGAAGAAGAAACACCTACAGTGGAGTCAAATCATGCCAGCATTTGATTTTCTGAATTCAACAGTATTCCTTGTTAGGCAATACCTGTATTGCTTTCCTAGCAAAGGCAGAGAATGAAATTATCCATAAAACAGTCCATGATGATAACCAAATTTATCAAAAGCTTGAGTGAATTCTGTTAAAGACTTTTCCTAGCATTGAAAAAAGAAGTGAAACATATTGTTCAGATTGTAATTATTTCATCAAAATCCTAGAGGAAGAAATTGATGGAATTATGGCTATTTTTCCTTTTAATTTTATTATCCATATTTCCTATAATGAACATGCTTTTTCATAGTTAGAAAAAGACCTTATTAAAAAGATGAATTGAGAGGAAGAGGCAGTGATGGTGCAGAAATATATTAGAGAAGAGAGTTGTGAGAGGAAAAAAATATGGAAAGAATCCTGTCATCATTGATGTGACAAATGGTCCAGAGGGCTCAAAAAGCTTTCCAAACATTGTTTTGATAGTTGATTCTCACGACATTTATCGGTGATCACATGAGTGCAATACTGAAGAAGAGAAGAGAGAATTCATCTTCACAGAATCAAGAGGCTAGTACAATTTGAGTTTCCCATTTATGGATCCGTGACTACCTCAGGCTGTAAAGGGAGAAGTATGGAGCTGTCATTCTCAGAATCATGGGAATCATTCCCAGCGAGATTAACATACAATCCTACAAAGTTAAACTGTTTACTTCTTAGACCAATGTTGAAGTTCAGAGTAATAACTTCAATAAATTTTTAATGTGTTTCACTGGGGTTTAATCACATTTATGGTTTACTTTCTTATGTATTTATTTTCACAAAAATGTCGAGGCTTGTGCAATGGTTTGTTTCTCTTTGATAAAGGGCGAAGTTATCTAGTAATAATATCTTATGTGACAAGAAATTAACTTGGGGAGTTATTTACTCTTTGGCATAATAAAAATATAAATTCTTCCACTCGATGCTAATAAAGAGTTTAGATATAATATTTTTTAATGACCATGTCTTTCAATTTATTGCCTTAAAATGAACTAGAAGACATTTCTCAGAATTTATTAATATTTGGGTAGAATATCTTCAAATATGATTCTGCATCAGCATCCACAATAAAAAAAATCTTATTCTAAATTACCAGAAACATAATCTTATAGTCCTCAAATTGTTAATAGATAATCAAAAGCTTTTTGAATCCCTGATACAAAATATTCTATTCACAGCACTTTACAAAGGTTTATAAGAAAGAGTTAGGCTATGAATTACATAGAAACTACCTCATGAAAAGAATTTTTCATACTGTACTGAGTGATATTTCAAGGCTGACTTTAATATTTTGTCTTCAAAGACATCCCCATTGAGAATTTTTTTTAGAAAATTATTTGCTTTTAAAATGCTGTTTATTACATACATGTATTTGGTTCTGTCGCATTTCTTTGTGTCTGCCTATGACACTGCTCCAAGAGCCAAACTATATAGGAGATGGGAATGTCAAGCCAAGGGGAAAAAGATCAGGAAAGCAAAAACCTGCTTAAGGAAACCTCAGATCTGTCACGTGAATTGTGACACTGATTAGAAGCAAGTCATCATTTTTATTGAATATATAATAAGTTCTATTTTTAGTAGTGGTAGTATGTATTACTGCACTAATAGTTTTTATATTATATTGTGTAAAGTATAGATTATGTTCCCTTTTCTGGAAGAAAATTAATTTGTTATCTTTTATTGACTTTAATAAAACATTACTTTCCCATAGTAAATAGTGATACATCATTGTGATGGTTAA